AATAAACCTTTGGGATCCAAGTGGATTTTTAAACGGAAAATGAAACCTGACGGTTTCATCGATAAGTACAAGGCCAAACTTGTAATCAAAGGATACAAGCAATGTGAGGGCCATGATTACTTTGACATGTATTCTCCTGTGACGAGAATAAATTCCATTAAGATGATACTAGCAATTGCCGCATTGCGGAAATTGGAAGTTCATCAAATGGACGTAAAACCCGCTTTTCTAAATGGCGATATAGACGAAGAAATCTATATGGAACGGCCCGAGGGCTTTCGTGTTCCAGGACAAGAAAGGAAAGTGTGTAAATTAATTAAATCACTGTATGGATTGAAACAATCCCCTAAACAGTGACACGAAAAGTTCGATCATGCAATATTAATTAATGGTTTTAAAATAAACGAAAGTGACAAATGCGTCTATGTGAAGAGCACGGTAGACGGTTATGTCATTTTATGTTTATACGTGGATGATATACTCATCGTGGGTAGCAATAATCTAATGATTAATTCTACCAAAAGCATGTTAAATTCTAAATTTAACATGAAGGATATGGGGCTGGCCGATTTAATCCTTGGGATTAAAATAATTAGAGGACCTAACGGTCTTACGCTAAGCCAATCCCATTACGTTGATAAAATCCTTACAAAATTTAATAAGGATGATTATCAAGAGGCAAGGACTCCATTAGATAAAAACGCTCATCTTACCAAAAATCGTGGAGAGTGTATTTCTCAAGTAGAATACGCTAGGATTATTGGAAGCTTGATGTATCTAATGAGCTGTACCAGGCCTGATATTGCCTTTGTGGTTAGCAAGCTAAGTAGATATACTAGTAACCCCAGTGATGAACACTGGAAGGCAATAGTAAGGGTTTTGAGGTATTTACGTAAAACCCAAAACCTAGGACTGCACTATGGAAGATATCGAGTTGTATTTGAAGGGTATAACGACGCTAGTTGGATATCCACAAGTGGATATGTTTTCACTTTGAGAGGTGCAGCCGTGTCATGGAAACCCTCAAAACAAACGTTAATAGCTAGATCCACGATGGAATCTGAGCTAATAGCCTTGGATAAGTGCACTAAAGAGGCTGAATGGCTAGACCATTTTCTTGAGAATATCCCAAGTTGGGAAAAGTCTTTCCCTCCAATATGCATACATTGCGATTGTCAAGCGGAAATTAGAAGGGTACAGAGCAATATGTACAATGGTAAGTCTAGACACGTTCGTCGTAGACATAACACCATTAAACAACTCCTCACAACGGGTGTTATCACTGTTGACTACGTGAAGTCAAAGGATAACATAGCGGGACCGCTAACCAAGGCATTGGATAGAGAATTGTTGGAGAAGTTGTCACGAAGAATGGGACTAAAGCCCGTGAATTGAACAGTTCTATAGTGGATACCCAACCTAGTTGGTCCTAGGTTCAAAAGGGACAACTAAATTATAGAGCGAAGGATGATCACTGTGGGGGTCCCGGACTCCTACCCACTCCTCGTTGAAACAGTGACTCCCGCACGAGGTTAGCAAAAACGTTTGCTTTAATGATTCTAAAATGTTGATCTACTCGATAACTTTGGAAGAGTATGCGGGATACTCGTGAAAGAATCACCTATGTGAGAGAGAAGAGGGGCCGCTTCAAAGGAGAACTGTATACGCTCAGTTCTTTAGAAACTCTTACAGAACCAGGACGGTGACTCATGGCCAAAACGGGCACACCCATGAGAACGGAACAAAGTTGGAAGGTTCTTGTGTAAAGATAAGTCAATGGTTACACGACAGCAGTATAGTTCAAGGACATCGAGTCTACTAGACAACCAGTAAATAAACATGTCTTTACATCGGAAGGTTCAAAGGATAAAACCTACCTCTCCATATACAGGGATCATCCGGTGAACATAACGTGTCCTCCTATCTTCGTGTCTTTTTTAAGTCTCGAAAATCAATTTTCATTCATGTGGGAGATTGTTGGAAAATGTGTTAAGAAATTGCATTAAATGGTCATTTTGGGGCAATATTTTGAGTGGGGCCCACTTCCGATTTGGGTCGGGTCAAAGTGGTTTCGGATTGTCCTTGTTAAGGGCTACAATTCGATATGTGGTACACTCAAAACGGATTACGGGTGAATGAGAAATTGATTCTCAAAGTTCTGCCCGTTGGAGCCGCCTGCTGAGCCACCTGCTGCCAGGCAGCCACCTGCTGAGCCGCCTGCTCAGCCGCCTGCTGCCCTCAGCCACCTGCTGAGCCGCCTTCTCGCTAGCAGCCTGTTACTTCCATTACGGAGATTAAATGCCCAACATTCCTTGCAATTAAATGGACAGTTACAGATGATTCAATGCCAACGTTTTGGACATTGATGTCCAACGGTAATGTCCATTAAAACGTCATTAACACACAACAAATCTTCCTCTATAAATTGGCTAGCAGGTAGTTTGCAACAACACTGATAAACACGTTCACCACGCACTCTTTAGCTCTCAAAAACACCTCTAGCATTCCTGAATAATTCCTTGGTATTCATACTTGTTCTCGTTCGCCGGAACAATTTGTTTGAGTGCTCAAACTATTGTTCGTAGTCATCGTATCCTGGGAAACGATTGTTGCAACGCTCCTTGCACCCCGGGAGGCAACGAATACGTTTTAAGGAAATCGTGCGTTGCACGAGCTTTGGCTAATTCTTCTCCATCTTCTTTCTGTTTTTTTTGTTTAACTATTTAAATTAATTAATTATTTTATTAATTGATATTTCTTCATTTTTCCGAGACACACCCAACACCTAAATCATTATGAACACCCAAAATATAAGTTATAAACCCTCCATACTCAAAATATGACTACAAAAATGATCTCCACCGTTCATTTCACAGTTCACTTAAAGTACAGAGTATGTCTTTACATCCCATATCACCGATCCATTTGCTTTCATAATACTTCTCCACCGATCTTGACTTCCGTCGCTGCAAGGGGTTCAAGGAGAAGAAGGCTGCAAGGTGGTAGCGACAATTCTATCGCCTTCTCTGAGGTCGGTAAGGACACTTAAGCATCTCTTCTTCGTTGGCTTTCCTTCTTCGGACTCCACGACAACACCTAAATCTATTCAATCTATTCGGAAGAAGTCGTCCAACTTCGTGAATCAAAGGAGAAAGGATCAATTTCACATTTTTCCTTGTAAGTTTACGATTTCATTTTTATTGTTGATTTTTTTCTAACGTGAATTTCAGTGTTATTTTACCATCTTCGATTTGATTTAGTTTGATTACAAATAGTATTTTTAATCGAACCATTTTATTGTTTTGTAGACTCTTTTAATCCAATGCGACCTTGACATACTGAGAATATTAATAGAGCTCACTAATAGAAGTGGTTGAGATTAAATAGTGTTGTTTGATGCTTTATTCTTTTCTCTTTTTCTTTTTTACTTTTTTTTAAATTTAGCCGTGTAACTCGTGTCGTCGTGATAGTTAAAGACTTTGGTCATTATAGTTTTCGTGATTCTTACTATTTCAAGATTTTCTATAATCTTACTAAAAGGACTGCAGTTTGCATCTTACAAGTTAATGTTTTATTTTAGAGTCAATTCCCTAAATAGGACTAAAACAATGAACAAATGCACAAATAGGACTTTCATGTTTTATAGGACTAAAAATGCATTAGCTTCATAAAATTACCCTTAAATTAAATTATAAACATATTTGTAGGTAAAAAATCTTTTTTAAAACCCTAGCTGCACGTCAAGTGCCAAAACTACGGTTGCCGCCATGTGCCAAAACTGCAATCTTGTGCCAGAATTGCCGCCGCCTCCCGCCGTCACCGCCCTCCACCGCCGCCGCCACCACCAAACCTGTTCCGCCACCACCAAACCAGTCCCGCTGCTGCCGCAAATCCTATCACATATTCTGCCATAGTATAATTGCCATAAATTTGGCAAAATATGCTGGCAATATAAAAACCAGAAAACCATATTTTAAAATGAAATGAGAACTTTCTGCCAAAAATCAGGAATATGAAGTCGACTTACAAAAATCAGAAAGATTGAACAAAAATGAACATAACAATGATAGTTTTTTTCATTAGATTTGGCAGTTTGTCGAAAAAACAAGAATTCTTTCTGCCATAGTTTAATCATCAAATCTGCCTAAAAGATGGCAATATTTTTGAATCGATGCCAAGAAAAAACTGTCAAAATATAATTATAAAATATGCTCAAAACTGACAAAAATTTGGCAAAACACGAAGCCCGTATTAAAAAAATTGATAAACCAGAATATTAATTAAAATTGAAAATTTGATGGAATCACAATACAGGACTACAAAAACAGTATTCAAAAATCAGAAAATTGATACAAAAACTCAAAAATGTAATGAAATCAGAAAATTTCTTCCGAAAAATCACAAAATCCATGAATAAATCTAAATTGTTAGACGAAAATCAGAGGAGAAAGAAGAAGAAAGAAGGAGGAGATGATGATGAAGAAGAAGAAGAAAAAGAAGAAGACGGAGATACCTGGAAATTTGGAAATCTGGAATCGATGACGATGGTGGAGGCAGAGGCAGCGTAGAGAGGCGGAAAATATAGATGGTGGCGGCTATGGAGAACTGGTGGCGGCTCTAAATAGTAGAGGCGGTGGTGGTGAGGCGCATGGATGAGTAGTGAAGATGGAGCCGCAAGATTGATCGATAGATAGAAGTCTAGGTTTTCATTTAATTACATAGGAGGGTATAATTGTAATCTTTAGTCCTATTTAGGGAATTTTAAACTTAACGTCCTATTTGTGCATTTAAGTTTAGTATTAGTCCTATTTAGGACAATTACTTTTTATTTTACGCAAGGGTGAATTGGGCCTAGAGCTAGAAAGGGCCCAGGCCCATCTCAATTTTTATATTTTTTATGTAATATGTTTAAATATCAGGCCCAGTCTCAATTTTTAAAAAATCAGCCCATTCCAAATTAACAGCCGAGCAGTCCGCTTCTTGATTTCTTTCTGCTTCAGCGAGTTCGTCTAAACCCCCAAAGGCCAAAAACCAATTCCCGACGGCGAGTACGACCTAGAAATCTAGGGCACGCAGGACGGCACACGGTGGCTCAGATCGCTCAGGCGCTCAGCAATCGGACCGTCGGACGGCGCACTGGCGGATGCTGCTCTAATTTCTCTTTGGTGGACGGTGGTAATTGGTAAAATGAGACTTTAATTAACCATTGAGATATTCAACCCATGCCAAATTGACTTCGAACATTCAGAGCCACCATAAATGGAAGGTTTGCATGCCCTCGGGGAAGTAAGTGTATTAATTTAATAAATTAGATCCACTCTTTTTTTATAGAGCACTAACACAGTTTTCAAACTTAACTGCTATTCCAATAAACTAATTTTACTGAAGAAAAAACATGTGCCGGAAAGTGAGTGGTAATTTGGAAACTGAGATCTGCTCTTCGGTGATAACTGGTAAGCAGAGCTGCAAAGGCCTGACTCCTGACTCCTGAGAACTGCTGCCTAAGTCCTAAGTGCTTAAGAGGTATTCTTTTTAATCTTTTAATTTTATTGTGTTTTTAATTCAAGTTAAAGACTAAATTACAGCTTTGCTTGATGTGAATTTGATTATTATTTGTAAACTTGTAAATTGAAATCATCATTTATAGTATGATGAGAACTGCACTCTAATGCTGTATTTAAGGAACTCAATCGACATTTATCGTGTTTCCTTTAGTTTACAAGTTGTTGACATTGGCATTGATTCTTCTTGTTGCAACAGCTAGTGTTGAAAGAGTATTTTCAGCAATGAATATCGTGAAAGATAGGTTGAGCAGCCAGATGAGTGATGACTGACTCAATGATAGACTTATTGTTTATGTAGAAAAAGACTTCTTCTTAAAAATTGACAATGATGTCATTATCAAACGATATCAATCGATGAAAACCCGTAGAGAACAATTGTAAAATTATGCTGTTTTTGTATTTGACTTTAATGAAAACTCTTATTCCTAGAATCTTTATTTGTCTTTGATTTTGTTGCTAGAATAAACATTTTTTTGAATATTCGTTAATAATTAAATTTTGGCCCCGCCTGGATGCCAAAACTAGATCCGCCCCTGATTTTACGGATAAGTTTTCTTATTTTAATCAAACATGATAAGTTTAGCGTTAATTAGTTTTCACCTCTATATATGTGGATACTTTTATTTATTCTGAAAATTGGGTTATATAATATAGTTAAGTATACTTCAACAACTTAAAATTCAGTTTTGAAATTCAGGCTGAATCAATGCTATGTACCATGCAACTTCTTTGGTTTCAAATTCAGTTCTCAATTTCTTTGCTAAGTAAAAAGGCTTCAAGATTTGTTTCTATAAGCAAAGAAAATATTGGTTTCATGATTCTTACTATTTCTATATTTTCTATATACATTTTACTAATAGGACTGCACTTTAATTAAATTCAGCAACTACACTGCTGATTTTTTTGTACTTATCATTAGTATATAGTGTTCTTAAAAGTTATCAATCTTCTTAAGAGTTGGTGTCCTTGATTTCCTGAGAAATGAGATATAAGATTTGAAGTTAATACCCAGCGACGGGCGACGGCGACCCAGCGACCGTACTTACGAATGAAGAACGAGAATCTCAACACTTGAAGCAGCCCAGCTATCTCCTCATAAAGCATCTGCTTATGGTAAATCACCTCACTAAGACGCCATATCCTTGTTTATCATTTGTGTCGTTGTATATTTCATATATCAGTATGTATTTAAGCCCGGCAAAGCTTAAATCATTGTATTATTTGTTTTGTGCCGTTTTTCATTTACAGATCTCCTTAGTTAATTTATCTATGTGGAGGACATGATTGACTACCTTTAAATTGACAGTTTTCCTCGGGATCATGAAAGTATCCTTATTCTTCTCAAAATAATTGAAAACTTTGTACTGATAATTTTTCATTTAGAAACAGGAATGTAGAAATTTCTATTTATTGTTCTAATGTTTTTTGAAATTATTGAACTTGGTATCTTTAGATTTTGTACTAAACGATTGGATTAAATTATTGTAATGAAAAATTTGTTTAGCTTGGTATCCTTAAGATTTCATACTAAACGATTGATTTACGTTCTTGTAATGAAAATATTGTTTAGGATCTCCACCTTGCTTTTACTATGTCCCCATACTATTCATTGACCAGACCTGCCCCTGAACTTGGAGTAATCTATTTTAATTCTGGCGTTCTTCAATTTAAAAATAATTAGCATGAACATATGAGCTTGCAAAAGGCTGTTGGGAGAATGTTAGCGTGTAGGACACAAGACTTTTAATTTTCTTGATAATTTTCTTTCAATTAAGAGCCCTTTTGGTGACCATGTTTTTCGTCACCAATGTTTTCACCAAACAGATAAGGTTGAAGTTATTTTTCTGGCTGAATCGGTTGAAGTTACCGTAGAAGACCACTCTGTAATCTTTTCATATAATTTTTTCTTTATTTAATAATAAAATATATCTTAAATATAATTTTTTCATAAATCAGCAAAATCCGTCAATACAATCACTTTAGCTAGAACTTTGTAAATTTCATCAAAATCAGCCGAATCAACCAATTCCAGTGTTACCAAATGTTCTCTAAGTAGTAAGTAGGTATTGTATTACTCATCAAGAAATTTTATCAATTCAGGACCTGAAAGATAGATGAACTATCGATCTGGGACCCGAAAGATGAAATGTAGCGGTATAGGACCCGAGTGATTGAAAACATCAATCTGGGACCTAACATTTCATTAGTTTTGATTTATTTAATTTCTTATTAATTCCATTGCTAATTTTTGATAAACTTTTCTTCACAAAAGTTTATTAGTTTAATAAAACTAAATAATATTTAAAATTTTTAAAATAACGAAGATAATAAAATTCATGACAACTTAGGTCCTAGATTGATAGTTTTCAATCATTGAGGTCCTAAATAGATAGTTTTCCATCATTCGGGTCCTATATCGATACATTTCATCTTTGAGGTCTCGGATTGATAATTCGTCTATTTTTGAGGTCCTGAATTGATAAAATTCCATCCTTTGCTATTCTTTGTTTTTTTAGTTTAATGACTTTGCACATCCTATGATAATGGATCAGTAGAGATTTTTTTTAAAGAATGGTAGGATGTGAGAATTTATATGGATGATATTGACATAAGCTTCAGTGTATATCAATTTACGTTTCACAAAACTTGCTTTTCTCAGAGAATGAAGCCAAAATATCTTTATTTGTTTACTAATGGCTTCAATCAATTTTATTTTCTAAATATCCGGTGCAGTTACTCTGACAAAAAATAATTTTTTTATGAATCTTTTGTTCGTTGGATTTCAACCATCAGAATCTTAGTATTACCCATTATATTCACTATTGGAATCAATCAAACCATTTTTTGAAGAAACCATGTTTATTCAAGTAGAAACCACTAAATACTGGAGTATAATCACATTCTTCAGTTAAAAAAAAAATGCTTAATATTTGTGAATTGACTTTTGTTCTCCCATTTCAATAAAATGATTAATATTTGTTTGACATGCTCCTCAGCTTCTAAGTTGCCTTGTAGTTCTTATTTCTTTGTTTATTTTCGTTCACAGGCAACTCTTGGTGATGCTTTCTTAGCAGATTTGGATGAATTATCTGACAATGAAGCTGATATTCTTGTGAGTCAAGTGCCATATTTATTTAGCGTACAATTTGAAATGCATTAATTATTTGCATTTCTTGTTTCCCTCTTCCAATTGTCTCATTTTTCTGTGGTGATGAAAGTGATTATGGAGAGCTCTATTTACATTTTTATAAGAGCTTGATGATGCTGGGTAATAATTAATTCTTGTTTATTAGTGTGCATACATAGTAATGTTGGGTCACTATGGGGTGATAAGTAACTCTCTTTCTGATTTTCATTAATTTTTCCTTACAAAAGGACGACAAATATGGGGAAGCTGAACACATGGAGGAAGATGTTGATGGTGAGCTAGCCGATATAGAAACACTTAATTATGATGATCTGGATAGCGTCTCTAAATTGCAGAGGACGCAACGTTATATCAACATTATGCAGGTTAGAAGAAGTTCTCGAACATCAAATTTGATCCCTAAGTACCTCACAAAAATATTTTAAATTTTTGGTCAGCACTAGGATATTATGTTGACATTTTTTATATGCGATTCCCCTTTTCTTTTGTAATAACATTCCCGAGAACCTATATTTTGTGAAATAGCATTCCCTTTAATATGTTTTACGGTTTTACCCTTCTCTATCCATAAGACCATAATGTTACATGTTACTCTAAAACATTAATAGGGTTATCCTGGTCGTATTACACCACTTTACCTTGGCTTTATAAAATTTTATTGCCTTCATTTTTTATGTACAACAGCTAAGGTGACACTCTAAACAAAGAACAGAGGGAGTATATTTTATTATTGGTATGTTTGCAGAAAGTAGAAGAAGCACTGGAAAAGGGTTCGGAAAACTCAGATAAAGGGACAATGGTTCTGGAAGATGATCCGGAGTACCAGCGTATTGTTGATTGTAATGCATTGTCGGTTGATATTGAAAATGAAATTATAATAATCCATAATTTCATACGTGATAAGTACCGTTTGAAATTCCCAGAGTTGGAGTCTCTGGTTCACCACCCGATTGACTATGCCCGGGTGGTTAAGAAAATTGGGAATGAGATGGACCTCACCCTTGTTGATCTTGAAGGGCTGTTGCCTTCAGCTATTATCATGGTGGTTTCGGTTACAGCATCAACTACAAATGGTAAGCCACTTCCTGAAGATGTCTTGCAGAAGACGATAGAAGCATGTGATCGTGCGTTCACTCTGGATTTATCAAAGAAGAAAGTCCTCGATTTTGTGGAGAGCCGAATGGGTTATATTGCACCGAACCTCTCTGCTATTGTAGGAAGTGCTGTTGCTGCAAAACTCATGGGGATTGCCGGTGGGCTTTCTTCATTAGCAAAGATGCCTGCTTGTAACGTGCAACTTCTTGGTGCTAAACGGAAGAACCTTGCCGGGTTCTCCACGGCGGCGTCCCAATATCGAATTGGATATCTCGAGCAGACAGAAATGTTTCAGACCACTCCTCCGTCTCTTAAGATGCGTGCCTGCCGACTGTTGGCTGCGAAATCTACCCTTGCGGCACGTGTTGACTCAACAAGGGGAGATCCAACAGGGAAAACTGGACGATCTCTATTAGAAGAGATCCGTAAGAAGATTGAGAAATGGCAAGAGCCACCCCCTGCGAAGCAGCCTAAACCCCTTCCAGTTCCAGATTCTGAACCTAAAAAAAAAAGAGGTGGGCGCAGATTAAGAAAGATGAAAGAAAGGTAACGAGACCATCTCATGCAATCTATATCGGGTGACGGGTAGAACATTTGAATGACTTCTATCGTCTGTGCTTTGAAATATAATAGTAATTGTATTTAGGGATACCTTTCATCATCATTTTTCCCAATAATCCCAGAGGCTTCAGTAAATTACATGTACACCCATTGACATGTCAAATATTCATTAAATGACACTGATAGATAAGATACAGTAAGCATGTTTTGGTGTGTAGTGGTATCATTAATGACAAATTTGACTGTCCAAAGGGTTTATTGGTACTTAAACTTTAAGGACTATTCTATCATTTGATCAGCTCACGTGGAAAAAAAAATGTAATCAACATATCATGTTTATAACTTTCACCAGGTATGCTGTTACAGACATGCGGAAGCTAGCGAACAGAATGCAGTTTGGTGTGCCTGAAGAGAGCTCATTGGGTAAGTAATGATATCTTCTCCCTTCATCATCTGTGTTTTTCCCCTGCTTTTCTTTGTCCTCTCATCTTTCATTGTCCCAAAATCTCCTTCTGGATGATGGGTCAAAAGTAAGGGACTGAGAATGAGAATTTAATGCTAGCAGCTTTTTAGAATTTCAACACTTTCGGATTGAGGATGTCTGTAACGATTTTGTGTTACAATAGATTTTTGATGTACTGTTTTTACCACTCACTCGGTCATGATTGGTTATCTTTAATGGAATATATAGGGGATGGTTTGGGTGAGGGATATGGAATGCTTGGTCAGGCAGGAAGTGGTAAATTACGTGTATCACTTGGTCGGAGCAAGCTTGCTGCCAAAGTTACAAAGAAGTATGTTAAGTTCATCTTCCCTCTACGTGTATGGATGGAAAGACTTTGATGCTGCTGCACCCCCACGACATCTTCTTGGGGATAAAAAATCACTGTCCATTCATTTCTCACACAAGTCGATATGATGAAATTACCCCGTGACACTTCCCATTTTTAGAAAGGAGGTGGGTCAGCAGCAGCATGAAGAATTTTCTGAGTGTGCGTGTAATTCTATTTGCTTAGCTAATGAGCATGTCTGGTGATTGAATATCTGTTCAGATTTAAGGATAGGAGTTATGGAAGCGGTGGTGCTACATCAGGACTGACATCAAGTTTAAGCTTCACCCCTGTACAGGTATGATTATACTATTGGCTCTAATTGACATTGATGGATGTGTAGTTCTTCGAACCTGTTTTCAGTTATCTGCAGTTTGATGCAAACTGGGGTTGTCGTTTTCGTTTTCAGGGGATTGAACTTTCAAACCCACAACCATATGCAAACCAGCTAGGCTCAGGAACTCAGAGTACTTACTTTTCAGAAACTGGGACATTTTCCAAGATCAAGAGAACATAAATACATCCAAGTCCTGAGGATGATTGATTGTCATCTTAAATAAATATCATGTGTTGATATTCCCTGGCTGGCCTGGAGCCCGTGCTTGTCATCAATCCTCTTAAATGATACCCCTATTTTTGTTTGCTTTTGTTTTATGTTTTTTCTCTAGTTTTATCGGAGTAGGTAAACCTTGAAATTGATGTAACGAGAATACCTGCAATTTTCAGCTTTAGTTTACTAGTTCATTATCTGAAACTCTGAAAGTCTCTTATTAATATGAGGCTTTTTGAACTGAAGTAAACTTATTTACAAAAGTATGAATAATAGTTACTATAGTCCTATAGTCACCAAGTGTAAAAGTTGAACAAAAAATAATATGACTAAGTTACTACTATAGTCATTATAGTCATTACTTGTAATCATATTTAGGAACATTAGGAATACATGGTTTGTAATCATATTCTAGAGAAATAATTATTTGAGCATCACTATTGATGAATAATTTTAAGTTTTGAGGTTATTAAAATTTATTAGGTGAATGTGACATGACAATAATGTGTAAGCGAAAAACATGCTATTTAAATTACATGGATGGAGATGTTACGAGTCCAGTTCATATTTTCAGTATTTTATAGGGAAATTTTCACAAATAGGCTTATAAAGAAAAGTAATATCACTTTTGTCACCCTTTAATATTTCTTTCAAAAATAGACTTGTCCCACTTTTCTTTTCAAAAATAGCCTTCTACTTAAATTTGATCCACCCAAGCCTATCTTTTATCAAGCAGTCATTCAGCCACTCCTTTCAATATACGTGTCCAACATAATACGAATAACAGTCGCAATTGAAACCTTTGACTTAAATTTAAAATCATAAAAAGTATATAAAATAATTAATACGGAGATAATTTATATAAAAATACAAAAATTTCAAAAATATAAAAAGAAAATACTAAAATTTAAAAAAATGTTTTTTGTGACAAAAATAATAATAAAAATTGTAAACAAATCTAATCAAACCTGAAAATTATAGGCCAAATATGAAAAATGATATAACAATTGTTTTGAACTATTAAAATAAGAAAGCAATAGGAAATTTTTATGAAAGATTAAATTTTAGAAAAAACGGAATCTTCGCAATGTAAAATATAAAACTTAATAAATTCAAATTTGAAATAGTTCTATAAAATCATACTAAAGTTTATGAAATATAATAAAAATATATTTTAAACCAGAAAAATATACATAGCATTAAACATGAAATCATGTAAAATATTAAACGCGAGAAAAAAATAAAAAAATAAAAATAAAAAGTAAAATTTTAAAAGAGATAGAAAATATAAAATAATACTCTTCAAATTCTTAAAAAGTCAGAAAACTAAAGTAAACAAAAAAGTGTGCAAATTATTTAAAAAATGTGAAAACAAGTAATGGAAATATAAAATATAAAAATTGATAAAATTTTGGAAATTAGAAAAGATATTTTTGATTTATGTTTTTCAAAATTAGTTGAAAATAATTATTACTCCTATCACTTAATTGTTAGTTTTTGTTGAATATGATTTCTTTGTGTTTCTTTTTGTTGATAATTTTGAAGTTTTTGTTTTTTATTGTTTCTTCATGTTTCTTGTAGTTGATATTCATAAAATTCGAATGTAACATTTTAAGTATGTATTGTTAGATTATGCAGAAGTAGGTAAAATAAATGGAAAAATTGAAAAGAAACGGTATACAACAAAATGCAACTTTTTACAAGAAATAGCAACAAGATGCAACAAAATGCAACAACATATAACAAAAAGAAACAATTTGCAACAAAAAGAAACAAAGTAAATAAGTACAACATGCACAAGTATCTCATGATAAATACATAATGCACAAGTATCAGAATCATCATTACAATTTCTTCTGCCAGTTACAAACTTTTTATAAGAAATAGCAACAAGATGCAACAACATACAACAAAAAGAAACAACTTGCAACAAAAAGAAACAAAGTAATGATACTACTGCTTTCTGGTTCCTTTAACATTTGCTGTCCTTTTTGTTGCTGTATATTTCCACTGGCTTAGCATGAAGCTCTTTAAGCACGCCTGGAGGATATGATCAAGTTACGAACTAAAGTAGTCTTCTACATTTTTATCTGGTAAAATCATTTTTGGTGATTTGATATTGACCATGACCATAGTCATTTGATCATTTGGGTCTAAAACCATCTGCCAGACGGGGTTTATGTAATTCCTGCATTCTTGTACTTTAATCTGCAAGTGGAAAGGGATGTTAACAGTTGCATGATCACTTGTTCTTGAAGATGAACAATAAAATGTCGTATATGTTCTGGATTTAAAAAAGCTGAGCATGAACATTGAGTATAGACCAATATTAAATAAATCAAATGGAAGTACAAAACATTGAGGGAACAAAATGGAGAGGCTAAATAAGTACAAGTGATAGTTCAAACTAAATTAATATTTTTTACTTTCTTCTAACTCTATTTTGCCACATGAAAACAAGCTTCTTTTCCTGAGATAGGAATCTCATAAAGAGCTGCTTGGAACAGAGCTGTATTTTTAAATGGAGCTTAAGGAAATCATTTCTAATAAAAAGAGGCCTAATTAAATAAAAGTCCAGAACAATGCTAAGACAAGCAAAATGAATGTAGTGTTAAAATATTCCACGTAATTCAAAGAAAGTATTGATTGAACAATTAATTTTTCACCAATCCTTCTATTTATTTTAACAAAAACAACAGACAACTAACAATACTCCCTATTCTTCTCCAACCTCACTACTGCTACTAGCCCTTCTGATTTAGTATGGATGGATCTGTAGGATGTAGAAGAGACAGCAGTTCAAGGAATTTCTTAGAGAAAGAGAGTGAGAGAGCAGTATTTTTTTGGAGTCTAGTACTCTAATTTTATCTTAGCTTTACTTCATTCACTTATTTGGCTAGTTAGCTTATAGACCGAAGATGTTAAAGTGATCTCTAAAATACACAATTTTGTTTAGAGGTTCTCAAAATTTATCTAACAGAATGATATCAATGGGAAATGTATGCACTGATGCACCAAGTTTCTTAATCTGTAATTCGGCTTATAACTTCGATCATGACTAGAACGAACTATAAATGGACACAAAATAGGTCCTTACTGGACTCCTGTAGTAAGAGAAAACAAACTGACCTCCACTACGATACCTAAACATATGAACAAGCACAAGTTAGAGTGCTTTTGTCATATCCTTGAACTGAATATAGGCTGCTACAATGATGAGTTAAGAAAATATATGTTCCATTGTTGATTTCACAGACGTAAAGAAAATTATGCACACCTAACAATAGAGATTACACTTGCCCATCTAATTAAATAATAGCTAGTCATCAAGACTAATCTTTCCAAATTTAAGCGGAGCATGTAACTTACAATTCCTAATCCAAAAAAGTAGAAGACTGCAAATACAATCTTAGAGGCCATCCTTTATGCCAATGCTTATATTCTGCACCTTTATTGATAGTTTTTGTTTATGGTCTTCTATATCCTTCAAATGCAGAATCATCATTTTCATGTGACATTTATGCTGAAACTCGAAGGTCATCGTCTGTAAACTTCTATTAGTTTCCAGATTTCGTAAGGTTTTCTTTATGAATTCCCTAATACGGATTACGGAGTTGACCATTTCATCTTCATATTAGTGTTCTATTTAAATACATAAACCGCAGAGCACATTTGTAAGATAAACCGAATATTGGTTTCAGAAACTATTGATACTAACATTCTAAATTTAAAAACATTTGAATAAAATCTCCACCAAATGAAAACCGCTCAAAACAAGCTTATATTCAAGCAATCCAACCATAAAACTTCCTAGGAATTCAAATCACTTTAAATACCTCATGAACTTATTCATTAAAAAAGAGGATGAAGAAATCGATATCGAGGGAAAACTCTAGCCTGGACATTGGAGGAAGATCCTTTCTCGGATCTAAATTGGAAAGTTCAATTCGGTAACCTGGGCAACCGTAACTGAAGTGCTACAAATTCGCAAATCGGCGACCAAGCTACAGTATCAAAATGGTGACTATGCTCAAATCGGTCTGCAAATTCATTCCCTCTCCACTATGCTCTTCATCGACAAGGCTCTCTCATCTGCATCGGAAAAACTTGGAAGCCTTCGCTTCGTTTTATTAGCCTGGATATCACCAGATTGATAACCTAGAGGATGTTGGGGCAAGGAATCCGAGCACAACTCCATTGGCGATGCCCAATTTCGACCATGGAATCCCCTTCCTTAGAGTTGGTACTTGGAAGTCGTCATTCGCTCGCTCTGGAAGCCTTCCAATGAAGGAAATCCACCTTACTTGTCTCGGTTATATTATTCTATCGATAGTAGATGGAGGAGGTCCACAACTAAAGGTCTAAAATTGAAATAAAAAAAGTAATTGAAAACCGAAAAGATTAAAAACGAAAAGAAGAAACAATGGAGACATAAATGATATGTGGGGCGTAGAATTAGACCGTACAGGTAATTTCCACTATTTTATATTGCTTTTGTTGTTTATGCTTGAGAGTTGAGCCTTTATGATGATTTTTTATATTTTACTTCTCAAGAGTCAAGTCCATTTGGTAATGAGTTTTGGGCTTCCGAGAGAAGTTTTTTGGAGTTCTTTTTGGTAAAACATCTGGTTTGGAACTGAATTGAAGACTGATTAATGCATGCACACACAGAAAACATAAAACTGAAAAGGGTTTCCGATTTTCGAAGTTCAATGCACAACTTCAATCAGTTCTATGATCATAGGTATTCCCATGATTGGATTTTGCTGAAATTTGGATTGCTGGACCGTGACTTCAGAAGCTTCATTTTGAACAATCATAGTCGGATTGTTCTGTTGAGCTTTGTTTTGGACAATCTCTCACCGAATACACCTACAGTTTTGGGTGTTTTCTACACCTTATAGTGCTATCTTGATCTTTTTTTTAAAAAGTTACCATTTTATTAAGTAGGCTGAAAAGTACAAGTAAAGAGTATCGGAGTTGGACAAACCCAACCTCAATTTCAAAAAAAAAAGAACGCTAGTAATGAAAATAACAAGAAATATATAAAAATAAGAACATGGCCCAGTTGGCCCATCGAGTCCGTCCAGTCTTAGAGAATAAAGATCGATCCTTATTGTTCTTGGTGATTGTTGGTGAGTTGTGAATCCTTTGTGGACTATTTGGGGTTGTCTTACCCTCATAACCTCATTTATCAATACGAGAAGTAAGGGTGGACTCCTCAAATGGTCCTAGGGGTGGACCCGGTCGCCGGTCTCGGACCGGACCGGAACTGGACCCGCTACTGTGCGGGACCGAACCGAGTCCTGTTTTCCGGTTCCGGTCTTAGACCGGATACCCGATCGGGTAATTCTGGACTCGGTCTCGG